GCTTGACTTTTTATTGTCTTATACTTATCTTATGTGTTGGTCTGTGTATTAATTTGTGTTTACTGTTTATCCCAGTAATTGTTTCTTGTTTGCCCCTCTTAGTTGCTGAGAGCCAAAGCTGTGGTGCTGGTGTCCCCGGTGGTGGCTTCCCCCTTTGTGTGTCGTGCTGTGCTCCCCCCTGATTTGTGTTCCTTCGTGTGAGTGTGTAGTGATCACGGGTGCCTTAATTTACTTTGTTGGGATCCCTCTCACCCCTCGTCACCTCCATCCACTGCCTCAGCATTCCTGAATTAAGAGTTCCCCCCCTTTATTTTCAGTGTGTATAATGATCTTATGGTGTTTTTAATGATATTTTAATGCCAGAAATAAGACATACATTGGAACCACGTCTCCTGCCCCTCAGTATCACGAACCTGAGTGCCTTGTTGGTACTTGGAATAATTATTTAATTGGGTGCAATTCCCAAGGTGGCGTTGTCTGGCTTTTAGTTGAATAGGATTTCCAACAAACACCCCCCACGTGCCGCCACATTAAGTTGGACATTTTAACATAGGGTCTACGGGAATTGCTCCCATCTGCATCCATCGCCTACAGTTTGCAGCATTGGGCTTCACCTCACTCTGTCCCGGAGTTCGCCGCTTGGCTCTGAGAGGCCAGAAGTCGGTTTGATTGCATTCAGGCTCGATTGCTTATCCTGTCTGAGTAGCCCGGATGATGTTGCATCGCAATTTTGGACATCGAATTTTAAACACCGAACATTTTTAAGTCGAATTTTTAAACACCGAAATTGTACATTCGAATTTTTTTCACTTTAATTTTTGGGATCTGAATTTGACTATTCGAATTTTTTTAACTTCAATTGTTACATTTTTATTTCACATAGGTAAATTCGGAGCAAAAAAATTCAGATACACGATCTTCAAAGTAATTATTTTCAATGCTATAAATTCGGTGTCTGATAAAATTCAAATACTTCTGTCTCTTGTTTGCTTACTGAGTCCCATTCGGAGTGTGAGCGGAGTGGCTGATGCACAGTGAAGTGCACATGCAATGTCATTGGCTCATAGCAATAACATTTTATTTTCGGCCCAAGTGAGTCATTTCATTCACTCATTCAAAACTTTATTTTATAGAAAAAACTCAGATGTAAAATAGAAATAAGTACATTTTTATTTGACTGATTTATTTATTATTTCTGGAATGCCATTTAGACAAATGACTATTGCAAATCTACTTTTAATAGTCCTTAGGGGTACTCAAATACAAATCTTAAAGGTCCAAACATTTTTATGTACGAATAATCTGTATGCAGCAGTTTTCATTGTTGTTGTGTCTGTGCTTGACCCCTCAGAGTCGCAGTGTAAGAGCTGCACAGTTATGAATAAAGGCAGCTGCACCCTCTTTCATTCAGCATTGTGTGTCCACTGAGGTTCGTCAGGCCCAACACATCTTCAACAAACTCCCCCTTTGCCTCATCATAAAAACTCACAAACACCAGCAACTGAGCATTGTCAGTGGTGTCAGTGGACTCATCCACAGCTAAGGAAATGCACTGTACATTTTTTATTCCATCACAAAGCTGATGAATCAAATCACCAGCCAGTATTTATGTTCTTCTGGTTGCTGTGGAATCTGAGAGGGGGATTTGCTTGATTTTACCTGTTATTTCCTCTTTTTGTTTGCCTTCACATGGTCTCCATCACTTCAGTCATGCATTCTTTTATACTTCAGTTATGATCCAGTGGAATGCCCTTACCTACTGGCCTAGTTCAATCAAAGTGGTTACTTTTTTTTGGCTGGGCAGTGTAGTTTTACACACCGTCTTATTTGACTTTCTCAGGACTTAAAACTGTTTTTTGGGGGCAGACCCCCTCAAAGAAAAAAATATATTTACACATAAGGTCATCATCTTAATAGTTTTGTATGCTCATCCGTGAGCAGAGCATCAAGTTGACATGTCTATTACAGCTGAATGCGGCGATTACCATTTTGTTCAGCAAAACGCCTCACAAACGTATTAAGATCAACAGCTTTAGTGCGTTTTGATGCAATGCTGAGTACAGCCAAACTTGACAGTCTCTTCTCTGTCATTGTAGACCGCAAATACCTAATTCTTTCAGTGCTTGGGTGACGTTGCAGCCATTATATGAGGGTGGGACAAGTCCCCCCCCACTTTTTCAAATGATTAGTTTAGACTCCCCCACTTTTACCATGTGGAAAGTCCGTGAATCGGTCTATCCACTCGCCGCACTTTGTAGAGCGCTGTGTCAGTGCTTCACTTTCAAATCCATTCCACTTGCCAAATCAATGAAACTCCGTACCATGTTTTCACTGCTACTTTGTACCAAGGCATATTCTCACATAGCGCGCGCATGTTCAAGGAGTGTTGTCATAGTTGGACAGCTCAGATCTGTTGTATGAAGCGATGCCGGTAGCGGAGGTAAGGCACACACACACACACACCAAGTGTTCAGGAAATTGTTAATACAGCGAAAATCAAAGCTGACGATCTCTTGGTTTGATATGTTTTCTCCCCCGGACAACATGGACATAAGAACATGTTTTTCAAAGAAGAGGAAAGTAAGTCTTCAGCTGGTAGCAGTTAATCAGTTAACAGTGATGGCGGCGGCGGCAAAAGCGTCTCACTTCTGGAGAGGAGTTTCGTCTTTATGTCATGATAGAGATTCAAATACTGAATAGTTTAGATGAGAAAAGGCATCGAAATGCCAGGTTACTAGTATTTATCATGTAAACAGGGAACATGAATAACCCGATCTCTCTGTGCTCATGTAAACACCATGATGTCCATGTAGAGACGCAGTCAGTGTGTTTGACTGGAGCCTCAGTTCGATAAGAGACTATTTTCTGAGTTCTTTAACTTCGGTACTCTCTCTGTGCTTATAGGCCATTTCCATCCCAGTATTCAGTTAACTGTTTATTTTCTGTGCACATTACATAGACTAGCTAATATTCTACCTACTGCTTGGGACTTTGAGTCTTCAAAATGTCCAATGCCACAGACTGGGACTTACTTTAGAGTCAGTTGTATTTACATTTAGTATGACTTGTTATGATTCAATGTGAAAGAGTATACTGCTCAATAAATAATGATCACTTCACCACCTCTCTTGACATCTAGGCGCTTGAGAGTGAGTCAGAGGCAGAACACAGGGACAGTGGAGAGAGGTCCATTGCTGAGGTGAGTGATGAAAGGGAAATGACAGTTTAGAGTCAATTGTGATGTGGACTCTCATCCCAGAATGTTAAGGAAATCAGTGGGGATATTGAACAGGAAGCATTTCAGTCAAGGGGCATCATGTGACCAATATAGACAGAAGAGCAACATTTATTTGAACATTTAAGTCAATGATACCATTCCTAGGTGAACTTAACATCTGTATGGAGTCAGATCAGTCTCAATATTAATAAATGCTCACAGAAGGATTCACAAATGTATTTTGCGATTTATATATAAATGACTCTCCACAACAATATTTCTCAATGCACTCACAAATATTTATTGTTGTATATAAATGTACAAAAAATGGGCATTTAAACTGATTTTTATTAATTCAAAGACGGCTCTGAATTAATAATAAAATATGTTTCCTTTCTTTACTACTGGATGAAATTACAAAATGTACCCATCATTTTCCTCATGCTAGTATAGCCACTTAAAAGTATCAAACCACCTGTTAAAATGCACCAGAATACAGGAAATCTATTATTTTTTTCGTGGGGGGGGGGGGGGATCCCCAAACCCCCCCGTTAAAAATGTCCCCCCCACATTCAGGATGCTTCCTACGCCCATGTCAGAATGCGTCTCGATTTGCACCGTCCCGTTCAAATGAAATCGCCGCCAATCATATTTCAACGCTCGGGTTACAAGACATGCATCTTGTGCTGCATTCACTTGCACTCGGACATTAGAGACTTTCTCTCAAATGTCCGATGAGCCACAACTTTTCTTTCAAAACAAAGCTGCCAACTGGGGTGGCAAGGCCTATTTTTAGGGTGGCAGTTGCCACCCCAGTAGGTGAAACTAGGCTACTAGCTACAGTATAGATGCAACTAGATGAGCTGTTAACTCTCGCTCTGACTTTTTTTTTTTTAAACTCTCGCTCTGACTCAGACAGGTTGAAAGAGACGACACACGCATTTTTCCCACCGGCATTCCACGAAGACCCGCCCTACTGTGCCTCTGATTCGCAGACTGTTGGTGGGGGGAAAACGCTTACGGGATGCTGAATGTGATTGGACCAATGCGTTGACAGACACACACAGACAGTGGAACAGTCGGACATGCAGAGCGCTGTTTGCAGTCTATGGACATAGCGGAGAATTTTGACTCGTTGTGTTGTGGCGATGTCTCGCAGATAACACAGATAATACATATGAAAAGTATAATTTGCTCAGAGTCCAGAGACAGTTGTGGTTCGGTCCGGAGTCCGGACTTTTGAGGATGCCTACTATGACCATTAAAAATCATAAATAAAAATCACAAATAAAAGACTTATACATCCAATACAATACGTGTTGTATGGAAGAGACCCTATTCTTCATTTGGTGGTGTCCCCTCTCCTGTAGTGTGCTCTGTGTGTGTGCATGTAAATGGTCTGCAAAGGCTAAAATCCCTGTTCCCTCTCTCCCAGTTATATTTTGAATGGAGGACTTGTAATTAAGTATTTTGAATAAATTAAATATTGGTACTTTACTCAAGTAAATAATTTGAATACTTCTTTCTCCGCTGACCATTCTAGTGCCACAGCTGATGAGCTTTTATTGAAGGTGATGCTTGTCTCTTGTTGCAGTGCTGCAGTGTGTGTGCAGCAGTCTGACAGCAAAGCATTACAAAGAAAGACATATGGGGATGATGGAGGTCCACAGCACACATGTGAGGACACCTTAAGGACACTGGAAAGCTACGAGGATGTAGCAACTTTGCATCTTAAGTGGAAATGAGTGACAAATACTCAAGATTAAAAAGACTGGAGTCGTTGAGTTGTCCCAAACCTTTTATTAAAGCAACAGATCATTTACAGAAAACTGACAATCCATCATTACTTCATAATAATTTATTCACTGTCATCAGTGTGTACAGAACATGTGCTGAGACACTGAGGCGAAGAGGGGCAGTTTAACCAGCAGCAGCCTGTCTACTGCAGCACTGTGGTGGAGCTTCAACACTGTCTGGGATCAGCGCTGTCATCACAAGCCTTCCCTGCTGATCTCACATGATCACCCTCTTTCACCAGGTTGCTGTAGTGTGGATTTTGTTTTTGAAGTAGCACAGCTCCTTTAACCCGTCACAAAATAGCTTATGGCTTTACAAAAAGCTTTTAAAGCATTTTCAGAAAAAAACTTTTTTTAAATTTTATTTCTCCATGTCCTTTTAAAAAAATGTTCCTTTTAAAAATCTAGAAGCTCTCTCTTGGTAAAGATTGTAATCTTTAATGTTAAAAAGGTTTTACAGTTCACATTGACTTACAAAGTGTCAGGAAGTAGAAAAGACCAGCTAGTGGGCAAGACATTCTACAAAAACCACTTCTGCACACCAGACAAACAATCTGGTGTCACGAGCACAAATAACGTGGGAAGGCGACAGACACCCTGATAGGAGAACAAAATATAAGAGGTATCTTTTTCACAGAAGTGTTTATTTTTTTTTTACTGTAAACGTTGATCTACATATTGTTAATGGTCAGTATCACTACAGAAATGGGTTTTGTTTCCACCCATTGTTAGTGTCCAGATCATACCTGCTGTGATAGAACAGGAGCTTTACCTGCAGACAGACCCCTCCCCGAGGACAGTAAGGTGCCAACACTCAAGAAGCTTCAAAACACTTCTGCCATACGATGACGCAAGAGGAAGTTTTGATCTGTGATCTTCCGCTACCATGGATCAATGAAACACATTCTGACCTCACAAAGGAAAGGGCAACAGGGACTAAAGAAAGTTTCCCTTTGAGCTGAACACCAGCCACTGAGGATGAAAACAAAGGGCTGGGTCATTAACCGTCAGCTGGGGTTGGCTGACAGGAACATGACGTCTGATCCATGTAACCCTGTGTGAGCTGTAGGGCCTTCACACAGGAGGCCAGATCACACAGGGTTACACGTTTCATGTCACGCTCCTGCACATCAGTTTGAAACTAAAGAGTTCAACATTAATTAGAAATTATTCAAACAGATTATCTGTCAGTCTACGTGGTACTCATATCTGGAAATAAGAAAAAAGAAACAGCTAGGATTCGACAGAACTCAGACACACAGAGAGGTAAAGGGAGATGTACAACCCACCAGAAGAAAACGTTTACAGCTCTCAAAAACGACTTCATGACACGAACGGCTCACACAAAGGTCTGACTAGTAAAAGACACACACACACACACACCACACACACACACACACACACACACACACACACACACACACACACACACACACACACACACACACACACACACACACACACACACACACACACACACACACACACACACACACACACACACACCACACACACACACACACACACACACACACACACACACACACACACCACACACACACACACACACACACACACACACACACACACACACACACACACACCACACACACACACACACACACACCTCATCCTGGATTCAACACATACTGAGTGGTAAATAAACGGCTGGGGGGAGGGGGGGACAGAAACCACCACAGCTTTGCATAGAAACACTGAGCAGAGTGGAATGTTCTCTGATCAGCACTGCAACAGAGGAGGCTGCAGCGTTCAGAACCAGAGGAGAGCTTCACATTTGACCCTGCTATGTCAAACACCTGACTGCGGAGAGCTGGGTCAGTCTGACTGCTAAACACCGGCTCAGCTGCAGCCTCAGTTACTGGGCAACAGAATTGCGATGCAGGAAGCCAGACTACATCACTGAGACTTCAAAATAAAGTTCCAGCTCTAGATTGGACTCTGCAGACAGAGCCGAGTTCACACTGAACTGAACCCCCCCTGACAACAAAGAAATGGACTATCTACTGAAAGAAAAACAAATGTTGATTCAAAAGAAAAGAAGGGTAAATCAGGAGTACCAGATCAGGGAACAATTCATAGATCATCACAAATGAACAGCAAAAGGAAAGTTTATGGAAGGTGTGAAAACATAGGGATGGGGAGAGTGTTGTCATGACGACTCAATTGTTTCTCTGGAGGTGGAGAGGTGCATCATCGCGCTCAGACGGTGCTGACGCAAGGTCAGTGGGTCCCTTCTCCGTCACCACGACGACCACGGCAGGCTCTACGTTTCTATGGAGAGCACAAACAGGACGTTGAGTCTACTGATGCAACCAGGGTTCATACAGCTTACATAGAATAATATTTAATACAAACTTTAGAATAACCACAATAAAAAGACAGAAAACATTGTTGGTTGAGGCTCATTGAAAATTAAAACATTCTTGTTAGCATCCACAACCAGCTGATCTCCGATGTATCAACTAGAGCATGAGTTCCCAACCCCCGGAGGTGTTACTGCCGGGCCGCGAAATAGCTGTGAGTTTATCGTAATATTTGCAGAATTATAAATATATAAAAATATTTTATCATATCTTTTTCAAAAAGTGTTTAATTTTCGCACCTATATTATTTCATCCTTTTCACCAGAAAACCGTTGAAAATGGCTTTTATGATGTTCCGAGGGATTCGGCGGCTCAGCCTCTCGTGCGCACGAGAAAGTTACTAGTGCGCCAATAGGAAGAGGAGCGCACAGGAGACAACCGTTTCATTGCAGACTGTTATGTTTATGTGGGGAAATGGCAGTGCATACATTATTTGAGATATATTTCAAACTCGGACTTCATTTTAAGGACATGTCGGCCAGGGGTGTAGAGCTATGTGTTTAACCTGTTAAGCCCTGAGCCTGTTTTTCAGGTTTCAGGCTCGAAAATGACATTCCCAGAACAAATGACCATAACTACACTTCTAAAAGGGTTAAATTAATAATCTTTTTTCTCAAAGTAATGATAAACCTGTGAGTTGGATGTAGAAAAGTCAGATTCAAAATAGATGTTTTTTATTTTAAAGAAAATTCAGATTGAACATGGTAAAAAACTGTAAATTATAGTGTCTGTCCAAAAAATATTTTGTACTTATAGTGAAAACTAACCTTGGATGATGGGTTAGTAGACTAAAAGCTTTAGGAATCCAAAGTACAACATATAATAAGTACCCTGTATCAAGATTGATGCAAAACAAGTGATATTTGACCTTTTTAGACAGATTTTGGGTGGATTTTCCATATCTCTGGCCCCCCTTGCTGGATTTTGACATGTGACATATCTTTCTGACCGTTAGAGCCAATGGAATCGAGGGGAACTCCCACATAGTCCTTATTTGGTAATGTGTGTGTGTTTGACTGCCGCATAGCAGCAGCCACTCTGGTGGCTACCATTAGCAGCTAACATTTGCTCTCCGATTTTTACATAAAAATGGAATTATGGATTATAAATTAAATCATTTTTTTATACATAGACGTTAAAAACCTATGGATTAACCGATTCAGCCGCGTTTTTTCTCGTTTTAATGCCATTGAACACGTCTTTTGATCAGATTGACAGCTACGGTGAGACGATCTCCCTTGAAGCTCCGTAAAGGTACGTGTTGTGATGTCTGTGTTTGCTTCCCCTGTCGCGAGTTCGGATCACTCAGTGATGATACTATATACCTAAATAATCTGTGGAACCTCAGCTTTAATCGGATATCTTGTATGTGCAGCTACGATAAGTAATAAGGGTACTTTTATCTTGAGTTCTGTGCCAAAGTCCGTTAGCATTTTTCGCTAAGGGGTCATTTAGATGCTTCTTATGAGACTTGTGTTTTGTTTTGGTAAAAATGGTTTGTATCGTCAGTTAGCGGAGATTATTTCCGTTAATCTGGTATAACACATTAATAGGTTCTTAAATATTAAGATCCCCCTGAGACACAGTGTGTCAGTTTAAAAACTGAATAACGTCGGTTTTTTAGTTTTCCGAAAAACCAAAAAACGACACCGGTTATTTTTTAAACGTTGTTAATATGTTTTGGATGCATATTGTTCTAGTATTTGTTCAGGCTGTTACATAGGCTAAAATTAGCCTCTGTTGCTACCTGCTGATAGTGAGTAAATATTAAAATCAGTTCAAATTGACAACCGGTTCGCGATTTTTTTTTAATGTATCTGCCGGTCCTTGGCACAATAAAGGTTGGGAATCCCTGAACTAGAGGATGTAGGTTGTCTTGACAACACTGCAGGGCCATCCAAAGTGAGAGCTGTGTACGGGACTGGGCAGTAAGACACTAGTTTCAGGTGAGGCTTGGCCTCCACCAGGGCTCCATTTGTCACCAATCCTGTTTCTGATATTCATGGACAGGATCTCTAGGCATAGTCGGGGGAGGGGGGGTTGCTTTTGATGATGTGCTTCTGATGGCTTCATCGGACTGCGACCTTCAGAGAGGCCATGGGTCTCAGCAGGAAACCAACTGACTGTCTACTCCATACTTGCCAACCTTGAGACCTCATAAATCGGGAGAATTTCAAAACCACCGCGGGGGGGGGGTGCTGTGCTAGCGGATCGCCGGAGCTGTACTAGATTAACATTAACATGCTTATTGTAGTTGTAAGTGCACTGCCTTGTGGCCTGAAGCACCATCCTTGATGGAGCATATGTGTGGGCTGGAAAGGAGTGAGCAGAGGGTCGAGTTGTCGATTCTTGTTCGGTTTTCTGTGATATATCTCCCTCATCCTCTCAGACTTTCAGTTGCGCGCGCTACTAAAGAGACGCGCTACCATGGAAACCAAACAATGGTGTAGCTGTATTAAAGTCCGAGTGGAAACAGTCCTGAGTAAATCTGAATTTGACAGAAATCGGGAGAAATGCGGGAGAAATATGACCCTGGGAGGAAACCGGGAGAGGGCAATGAAATCGGGAGTCTCCCGCGAAAATCGGGAGGGTTGGCAAGTATGGTCTACTCCACATAGGGAATGGTGTCCTTACCCTAAGTGAATGAGTCCTTAATGAGTTCAAGTTATTGGGATCTTTTTCTTGAGTAAGGGGATGCTGGAGAATCCGAGCAGCACGAGCTCTACTACACCGTTATGATGAAGAGAGCTGAGACGGAGAAGTTGGGGGCCTTCTGCTGGAACTGCTAACCTCCGCGACCCGACTTTGGGTAAGCCAATGAAGATGGATCGATGGATACCAGTAATTGTGATGTTTATTCATATATATCAAACATTTTCTCCTTCCAGCTTCCTAAGGTATAGATTTGTGTCCTGTTCACTCAGCAGTGGCGGACACATACAATAGCAATCCTCCCGATGAGCATGAATGTGAATAAAAACAATGTTTACCGATGGGCTCATCCTGGATCTGTTCCTCTGTCTCAAACACAGCTGCTGCAAAAAGAGACAGAGATGCACAAGTAAATCCACGAGATCTTAAACATATTGTAATGTTATCCCCTCACAAAGCCTGTGGCCCCATTTATACAGTGCATCCATCCTACGGTTGGAAGGTGTGTGCGATTGTGCCCACCTTCTTCCGCTGCCTCCTCTACTTCCTGTGCTTCTTCTTCTGCCTCTGAAGGTGGAACAAAGACATTTGAAACCATTAACCAAGTGTTTGCTACGAGGCGTCTTACAAACAGCTGCCACACACCGTGCTCAGTAAGAGGAGATCTCTTGGACCTATGTAGTGTATTAAACAAAGATAATAATGTACACTGGCTTACTTCTACACAATTCAGTATGGACCAAAATCCATAGATTTCACTGAGCCTCAAAATGTCAAACAGATGATTCTTCTTTTAGATCATCAATATATATAAGAGATACACCCCTTACTGGGGATGAGGGGAGAGGGGGACGCTAAGTGTCATCTCAAGGAAGTTAGCATTTAACTGGCTAAAACGTAGTCTACCACCGCCTCTTAAAGCACTTTGGTATTGTATAGAATGATCTATCTAATGTCTTTACTAGTCTGAGGAGTTCCCCTCTAATCTAATGATCTAAGGGAGTCAGTCACACACTGGATGTCTTGACAGTATCAAATACTCCTGCTTTACCTGGCTCTGTTTGCTCTTCTTCTACTTCTTCTGGAGCTGCCTCTGTGTCTGCCTCCTCTTCCTCCGCTTCTTCTGATGGTGCTGCCTCCTCTTCCTCCGCCTCTTCTGATGGTGCTGCTGCCTCTTCCTCCGCCTCTTCCGATGGTGCTGCCTCCTCTTCCTCCGCCTCTTCCTCCACAGCATCTTGTGATGGTGCTGCCTCCTCTTCCTCCACCTCTTCCTCCACAGCTTCTTCTGATGGTGCTGCCTCCTCTTCCTCCGCCTCTTCCTCCACAGCTTCTTCTGATGGTGCTGCCTCCTCTTCCTCCGCCTCTTCCTCCACAGCTTCTTCTGATGGTGCTGCCTCCTCTTCCTCCGCCTCTTCTGATGGTGCTGCCTCCTCTTCAACAGCTTCTTCTAGAGGTGCTGCCTCCTCTTCCTCTGTAGGTGCTGCCTCCTCTTCCTTGGCTAAATCCTCAACAGCTTCTTCTGCAGACTCCTCTAAAGGTGCTGCCTCTTCCTCAGCGGGCTCTTCAGCAGCTTCATCTTCTTCAGCAGGCTCTTCAACAGCTTCCTCTTCAACTTCTGATGCCACCTGTTCAGCAGCAGCCTCTTCCTCGGTGTCTTCAAATGCAGCCTCCACCTCTGCCACAGGTTCCTCCACAGCCTCTTCAGCGGCCTCCTCCTCCTCCCCAGCTGGTTCTGTTTCCATTTCCTCTTCAGCTGCTGCCTCCTCTTCTTGCTGGTCTGCCATCATCTCTTCCACCTCCTCCACCAGTTCAGCCTGGATCAAGCAATATTGTCAAAGAATGTTTATTTTAGCTGTTAGAAAAACATCAGCATATATCTGTCAATCAGGGATGGAACACAAATGATCATAGCTACAGACCTCAGGGGCCTCCTCTTCCACAGCAGGAAGCTCCTCCTCTAGCACCTCTGGATCTTCCTCAATAACCTGAAAACATAATCATCCCCCGAATGCCATTAACAGGTTTACTGTCGTGACCAGAATACATAGGAGTATGATATAGAACTGATTACCTGAAGGGCCACACTAATCACTGCACGTTTTATAAAATAACACTTGGCCTGTACCAACCTCCTCAGCCTCCTCAGCCTCGGGTTCCAGTTCAGCCTCTGGTTCAGGATCCGCCTCCGGTTCAGGATCCGCCTCCGGTTCAGGATCCGCCTCCGGTTCAGGATCCACCTCGGGTGCTTCCTCTGGTTCAGGCTCTGGAGGAGGATAAGAGGGTAGGAGAGATTTACACACGTCACAGTTCAAGCCCAGCCTTCATTCTGAAAATGTTTCTCACTGCCTAATGCTTCCTTCCACACCTGGATCTAAAACTCAATGATTATAGAGTTACATTACATTGCATTTAGCTGACGCTTTTGTCCAAAGCGACTTACAATAAGTTGAGTTCCCTAAGACGACACTTCATGCAAACGATATCAAGAAAAGAGAACAGAATATTCCATCTATTCTCTCGTGAAAACACACATTATATTGAACCAGAAATCTGTTCTCTGCTTTTTTTAACTGCCTGAATTGAGGGATGATTTTCTAACTCTTGTCACATGCAAACATTAGCACCCATTCACACTGAGGTACCTGTTGGAGGTGCAGAGGTGTCCTCAGCGACAGCAGCTTCAACTACATCCACAGGCTCAGGCTCAAAAACAGCTGTGGAGAGGGGGCGGATATGTTACGTTATGTCCGATCAAACTCAACGCTCAAGAGTGGTCCTTTATTGGCCACATGTCACTGAATGGAAATGACAATACATTTAATAAAATGGGAGATGTTTCAGATCATCAATAATCGATATACAACAAGGGAAGCTTTAACAGCCAACATCTCAGTAGAACTGTAAACATGTCATCTAACAGCATATATTTTTGCAAGACACAACCCACCGGGACGTCATTTAACTTCTTCTCTACCCTACATTTCCAGTGCACAGCATTTGTGGTGGTATCCATATGTGTTCAGTGTTATGCTGCGTTCACACCAGTCTATGGTTCACACCGGACGCGATGCGAATATTCGCATCGCTCTATCTGGCCCCTACACACCGCGGCGTGCGTTGCCGCTTTAACGCTTCTGCCCATTCACTTTGAATGGGGTGACGTCACGATTCGCCGAACTGCATTGTGGGAGCAAAGCGTAGCTTCTTTCGCGGTGCTCGCTGCAAAAGTAGAGCAATGTTCTACTTTTGACGCCTCGACGGACGAGTCAGCCAATCGAATCATATGCCAGTACAAGCTCTAGCCAATCAAACCGCGTGCTTGTGTGTCTGGGGCGGGAGATTCATGTGATTGGTTGTTGGTTGAGTTTCAGCCCCCCCCCCCCCCCCCCGCCGGCAAGCGACAACGCACGCCGCCATGTGTAGGGGCTGTTGGTGCGTTCACACCGGACGCGATGCGAATATTCGCTTCGCTCTAAACGCTCGAGTTTCACCGAGGCTGCCAGCTGTGTTTACTTGCATCATTCAAACAAGACGCGCTGGCTCGGGAGCTACAACTACAACAAAATGAACATATTTTACCGTGATTAAATTGTAATACACGTTACTAAATGATGCCGAAGTAACAACATACTGATACCGGTTAGTAAAAACCATGAATTAATGCTTGACAAGTCTGCAGCCAGACGGCGGGCGAAAACCCTTTTAAAATGCTTGTTTTCTGAATGGAGATTGGGTCGACCAGGCTAAGCTAACGTTGTATAGCTCTGTCCACACTTACAACAACGGCCCTACAGACATAAATAAACCAGCGACTGTATTCACCATGACACAGACAGTCTGTGGTTTGTACTTGTTTAACTTTTGTCCAGTTTCTGAACAGATATGAGGAGCTGTGAGCTCTGTATGCTAACTGCTAACAGCTGATGTTTTCTGGTTGAACGTCAGTGACGGCAGGCTGAGATCCTCACCGCTGATTGGCTTCCGCGAGAACGCGTCACGTGAATTTGACGCTCGAGTTGAAAGAATTGAACTCTCGCGTTTGACGCGGCACAGTTCAATCGCGTGATTCGCGCCGCGTCCACCGCTTCATGCTAGCCGTCGGCGCGAATTCGCGTCTGTCCGCGTCTCTACATTGACTTTACATGTAATCGCGCCGCCCCCAAACATCACATCCGGTGTGAACGCAGCATTAGAGATAACAGATACTGATGAGCCAGCCATGCTGTTGAAACCTGTCACCATGCAACACCTGTGACCATGTCCTATCAACATTTTCCTGTGAGGAACATTAAGTATAAAGAATATGTGAGGTACCTGGTGGGGCGGATTCAGCTTCCGGAATCTTCACTGGGGCGGCAGCTTCTTCGCTACGGGAGGTTATCACCACAGCCTTCTCTTTCAGCCCTACATGAGATCAATCAATGTTTATTAATATAGCCCAATATCACAAATGTTACATTTGTCTCAGTGGACTTCAGTTTGTACAGAATATCAGTATGACAATACGACACCCTCTTTCCTTAGACCCTCTGTCCTTAGACCCTCACATCGTACAAGGAAAAACTTCCGGAGAAAACCCACAGTTTAAGGGGAACATGGGAGAAACCTCAGGGAGAGCAACAGAGGAGGGATCCCTCTCCCAGGACGGACAGACGTGCAATAGATGCCGTGTGTAAATCGAAGAGATAATACATTTTACAGCGTAGGTAGACCAAATGTTTGGAAATGCATGTGTCTATAATAAGAAGATGAATCCACGAGGATGTCAACAATTTTGTGGGAGCCATCAGGGAAGTAGTATGGTGAGAGTCAGGCAGGACAGCAGAGACTGGTTCAGAGATGAATGCACATGTTGCTGCCACAATATACATGTACATTATAGACACAGGATACATAGCCATAAGAGAGTCTTCGGTCCTACTGAAAACATATCCGATCATATTAATTATAGGGATGCACCGATACATCAGCCAGACATTGGTATCGGCCGATGTTCGCCCTATTTACTGCCATCGGCAAAGGAGGTGACATTCACCGATGGCAGTCGATGATGCTTTTGTTATTTTCTTGCGCGGTCCGTCATAACATCTGCGGCACCCGTAGTTCGTTTATAACAAATACAAATAAAAAAACATGTCGGCAGTGGGGGACTATTTCACTGTTTCACCCAGAGATCCGCGATTTGCAGTTTGCAAAAAGTGTTCCGTTGACACGGCCCGGGTATAATAAACGGGGCGCTCTCTTTTCCTCTCTCCCGACAGCCCGTCAGTATCCGTCTCATGTAGCTGGCTGATCCAGTAATGAGTGATCCGACAGTAAAGAATACATATATTCATAACTAGTGTAGGTAGATTCAGAGGTAGATAAAATAGCTAAGTGTGATAGGTCTAACTCTAAAGGTGTGTTTTGCTTCGCTCACCGGTCCCCTCACAGCAGGCAGAGCTGCCGGTGATCCGCTGCGTACTTTCTAAACAGCGTACTATGATGTTATAATAACGAACTTGCTCAGCCTTTGAAACTGAAACCATTTTGCGAGAATTTATTTTTCCTGGCAGAAAGTGGAATAACAGTGAAAACAAAATTACATTAAAACATCGGTATTGGCCTAATTGTTATTCTTAACATCGGCCAAGAAATGTAGCATCGGTGCATCCCCAATTAATTATGAATTCATCTGGATTTAAATATGCCACATGTATGATAGTGATACACACTTATGAAGAAGAAACTAAATAGTGGGACATGTGGCGTATCAGAGAGGAACTTGTACAGGACCTTGGAAGAACCTTCGGAAGCTTCTCAACAGGACATTGGGTTCCTTTAGCTGACAGAATCGAGTTTGATCAGACATCTCATGAACTCAGTAGTTATTATAATAGGCTTAGGCTCAACGTTTGTGTTGCATTTCAACAGTTATTTTGAAAGCCTAAACTGGCTGTTGGCCTTAGGTCATGCGGGTCCATAGTTTCCCAACATGCACTCCAGCGATTCCACAGACAGAAGATTGGAGCTCACATTAGAAAGGAAGCACTTGCAGGGATCAGAAAACTTTATTGACAAAATAAAAATAAAACATAATTGGTTATGAACACAAATCCCCCTACATTTAGAAAAGCTCAAAATGTAAGCATCATTAGAACTACATATACTGAAAAAAAATGTCAGTGCTTCTTTTTGCATTATGCAGTTTCTATCCTATCTCATTCGTTTTTACTAACCCTTTAACAAAAAGTACAGACCAAAACAAATACAAATAAAACTATTACTTGTTATTCCCAAATAATTCCCCAAACGTGTAGCAACTGTGCCAGCTCACTACAGCCCATTTATTTTTTGTTAAAGGTTATTGCAGTCCCTTAAAAGTCACTCCCGCTAGTCTATTGACCAACACAAGCCTTTTTAGCTAGAAAATTACTTTGTTTAAGCTTTTAAACAAAGGATCTTATGCACAGCTCTGGCATCATTTGAAATATGTATTGTGCCAATAACAGTGTTTCGACCACCATATCATCTCTCTTCATTTCTGGCCTTTCTGGCAGATTTCTCAGCTTTGCTCCCCTTCCGTTTGTCTTTGGCATTCTCTCTACCTCTCAACTTGTCTTCGTCCTGTGCCTTCTTTACCTCCCCATTACTCTCGGATTTCTCCTCATCCACTTGTTTTGCTTTTTCCTTCCTTAGTTTCTCCAGAGCCTTCTTCATCTCTTCTTTCTCCATATTCTCCTCTTCCTCTTGCAGTCTCGTTGCAACTCGTTCATTCACTCTGGTTCTTATTTTGTCTCTCCCTAGCACCAGCTTCTCCTCCTCCTCCTCTTTGGCCAGGAGCTGTCTGACCTCAGCCAGAGCCAGCTTGGCGATCTTCTTGGCCTCCACACGTTCGTGGATGATGGTCAGCTGCTGCTTCAGAGCCTCACGAAGCTTCCTGCCCACATCCTTAGTTGGATAGGATTCTGGGAATGGATGGGCAACAAATTGTTGGATGTTCACCACTTCCAGACTGACCAAGACCATGCTCAAATTCACTCAGTTATTGGAAACCAGGCATGTGCAGAACCAGAAATCAGTTCATTCCATCCTGTTGCGTTCACCTCCAAGCAGTGAGTAGACTTCTACATCAACCTGGTATGTTACTCAGTTTAAAAACGGATGCAAAATCGGATTTGTATCGGTTTGTTAAAAATATGACCAACATTAATGTACTGAAGACAAACCCATGTTTACCCTAGTGGTGTTCCAATCAGACATTTTTAAGTCAATCATCACTTGAGAAATCGGGTTAATCACTCCATGATTATTAACATGCTTTGTGAGAGGTTGGATCTTATTCCATTAGTGTGGCCCAGTGTAAGAGCACATGCTGCAGGAGGATACCTCTCTCTGATCCTGCCCCGGCTGCTGCTCCTCCAGCTTTCTCATCTGATGTTGCAAACAAACAAAACGTTACAACACTGGGATAGTTTCCAGGTTATACCTTTGTAGTGGTCACACTGCTTGTAGAGATCAGTCCATTAACACAAGTCGCCACCAGTTGCACAATAAAGCATATGTCAGCCTCGAGCTGAAGCAAACCACACTGATTCTGTCGCAGAAGCCACTGTTGTTATGTCGTCTTAACTTGGCCATACATCAAGGAGATAAACTCAACCTCAGCTGTGCAGAATCTGACGACCGCATGGTATAGTCCTTTTTCATAGGATGCCTCAGTTCTATCATAAAGCAGTCATGGCAATTACCAGGACCAAGAATTGTGTTAATATGAACTATGGTTCACATCAAAAGGACACAGTCAGCAGCTCACCTAAGCCTCGAGACGATGCTCTCACTGTCGGAGTTAAAGAAAAGTACATCTGCTGCTTCTGTGCCATGAAGGAGCGCACAGTTCATGTTGTTATCATCGTCCTTATAAATACTTTATTTAGAAGCTTGTTCTTTTGTTATAAAAGGAATGGGTTAGGGTCCTGTTAGAGTGGATATGGAATTATGTTTGTCACTCATCTTCCAGTGTTTGTTTTTGTGCATCAATAGCATCATGTAGATGATTCTTTAGAAAAGCTGGTTTCTTCCATGCATTCAACAGCCATCAAATTCATTACACACACACACACACCCTGTGTCGTAATAGAGTGCCGCTTAATGGATCAAACATGCCTCTCCTCTGCATCACCTGCCCGTTCTCTCATTGTTCACACAGAACAGAAACAAACTGGAGGGGTACCAATAGAACACGAGTGTATTCTACTTGTGCACAGCCACAAACTGAACTAAACAAACAAGTTGGCTTCATGACTGATAACTATTGTAGGAGTAAGACATTTGCATTATATGTAAAAAGGAAGAATGGAACCAAGGGATCTAAATCAAATCATCATTGTGACTAGTCAGAGGGGAGGCGGGAGAGAAACAAGAGGAGGTACGTTTTAGGCATACGTTAGGCAGCGTGGGAATTAAGACATAGTAAGAAAAGCACATGAAATTAAAAACATTTACAATGGCTTGGTTCCATTTGGTGGAATGCAGAATGGCCCTAAAATGTAATCACTTTTTAAAATTCTATGGCATGCCAATGTCTGCCATTTAAAAAAATAAGTTATATATCCGTTTATCTAGTAGAGTAATGGCATAAGACAAATAATATGAAGCTTGACTATATTACAAAACAACATTGCGCCATTTATGAGTCCAAGGCCCCCTATTTCCCTCCTGGAATAAGCCTGCATACTCAACCTTAACTTTTAAAATAGATTGTATCAGTTACTTATGGCAGAGAACCATCACTATAAACACTAGTCCACCTCCAGATGTTGGCAGGAGGTCAGCTTTATAAATCCAATTTGTTCTCATCCAGACATCCGAGGAAAGGCTGAGGATGTGTTCATTGCATGCAGCAATAGGAGAAAGGGACAGTGGCGCAGCTGTCCAAGTGGAAATTGCATTCAATGTTTTTAATAGTTTCAACCCATTTGTGCCAAAGAAATATATGTTCTAAAAAAAGGTGTTCCTGAGTATCGTGTCCATATCCCAGCACAGGGTTCAACATCACAGAGAACTCCTTTAAGAAGGGCATTCACTCTCTCAACACTGCTGATACAAGAATGCAGCTCGTTTGTCAAATTTGACAATATCTTTTTTTTTTTAAAACCTTGCATTGGTTGAGCTTACAACACAATGTTGGACTGGACATTCATATAAAGAGACTAGATTGGTCAAGTTTCCAAAACTCTAAAGTCAGCAGAAAAATGATTTTGTCGTTGTCTTGGGCTGTTGGCACCCTGCAGTTGGAAATTGCATTAGAGGATAAACAGGCTGTTGCAGTTGAGGAGAGGCTATTGGTTGTGTAAGCCGACTATGACAATCTTCTGGCCCTGATATCCATTATCATGTGCTTCTCTTTTTCTGACCCCCCGGTCATCTTCGTCCTCCTCGTCCTCCTCCTGTGCCTCGTAGAGTCCTCCTGAGGCACGGTGCTCCTCCTGCTCCTCCTCCAGGTGTTCCAGGGGGTTTATCAGACCGTACAGGAAAGTGAAGAAACTGTTTAACCAATCAGAGCCGCCCTCTTCCACTTCTTCTAACCAATCCAGAACCTCCGAATCCCCCTGACCATCACTGGTCAGGCCTACGCAAACAAGAGGGGAGGTGGGGGGGATGTGTGGATGGAGGGTAGAGTTTGTGGGCACAACATTTGGAAGTGAGATGGAAAGGAAGTGGAATAAACTTTAGAACAAAATAAAAATGGCAGGAAAATAAATGGGGGAAAAGACATGTAATGATATAATGTCAGAGGGTTTAGAGCAGAGGGGAGGTGGAAAAGAAACAAGAGGAGAAGGTAAGAGAAGTTTTAGGCGTATGTTAGGCAGCGAGGGAACTAACAAGGCATTATCATAAGCAGCTGGGTCTGGCTGACTACACATCACTGGTCAAATTCATTGACAAACTCTGACTAAATGTACTCCTATAAATATGGAAGTTCAGCTCACACTCTTTATCATGTGGAGACAGCCTAAAAATCATAGACGGGTTAACTTTAGCTAAAAATGTACTTTTACTGTACAGCCACGTTTGTACCAGCCATTGCCATAAGTGTGAGTTATTACACAGATTTCCTATGGTTCTATAAAAAATGTTTTTAAATGTATGGAGGGACGGACTCATACACAACACAAAGAAGAGGAAACAAAAGGTTTCAAAATAAATGTGAAAAAAAGAAAATATATGTATTGGAGCATGCATAACAATGCCATGAAGCAAGCTGTGAGATTGAAGTGTTTACAAATTGTTAGAGCTTATTAGTGTAGGGGTGGTATGGATGATGGATTGCTGGAGGGATAGAAAGGCTGGAAGTGGGCGGGGCTTAAGTTCCACCTTTTGCCTAGAATGAGAATAACTGACAAAACAGAGCAAAAGCTGGAATGCAAGTACCTCCGAAAGGGAAGAGTGATAGCATTCTAAATGTTTTCTTTATGAGCCAAATAGTTCGTTTTTTGAATATTGCAAAACAAGCAAAGTGTTGTCTGTACATTCAAATCTAGCCTAGTACACGTGTGAGATGTAAAGATTGAGACAAAAACAAACTGTGATTCTCATGCCTGACTAGAGAACCAGAGGAAAGAGAGAAGTATACTAGGCACAACATAGTCATATTAAATAGTGGTACAACAATATGAATGTTTTATATTCTATGCAGTTCAACATGTTGACTCTTCTATTGGAATGAACTCATTTGCATACAGCTCTGGTCCAACATGTTAAGCTAGTGTACAGCATTCAGTATGTTGGAGAGTCATGTCAACTGAACGCAGAAATGTGTCATGCAGCAGACATCACGTGGGGAATCACAGTACCCAGGACACACTGAAAGCTACACTTCATCTTCTCCTAGTTGTCTTCAATGTGTCATATGAATTATATACAATGAAAATTAGCCAGAGGAACTCATTAGGTACATGTGAGGAAACTGTTAGCCATAAACTCCTCAGGTGGCCTTCATTTACCTTTAGTTAAGAAGGGGACAGGAGCACCTGCCTTCTTGTTGTGACCTTAGCTTTAAGAATCTTACACCAATTTGGACTTTAGAGACATTCAAAGTGGGTTGATTAAGATAACAAAGCAGTTACAGAAACACGCAACCCTGCACAGAGGTACCGAGGTAGGAAGGATTTGAGGAGTTGGCTTTTCATTGATGAGATGTTCTCTATGATACCTGCCAGCTTTTTAATAGTCAGTCATGCTAGGCAAACCCAAATCGCTGTTAAATGTAATTAAGGAACATGAAATCATGTGGCCAGCAATGCTCAAGCAAGTATGTTCCGCTTGCATGATGACTGGGGGTCATGCACCTCGTCCCCATAATGCCCTGAGAAGCTCCAGCTGTTTGGCACTGGAGACAGAGATTCCACTAATGCAAAGCACTGATCGTAAACACCAACATTAGTTGTAAATTAGAGATGAATCAACTTGCCTAGCAGAACTTTAGCATCCTCGACATCAAAATCACCATCGCCATCTGTATCGTATGCGACCAGTTTACCTACAGCAGTAACAAACACATTTAGACTTACAGTTTGAAAAATCAAGACACATAGCTTTACTATACATTGACATGCACCATTCCACACAGACAGACACTCAAAGACATGCGCCAAGCTTATCTTAACTCCAGCATCATTCATTAAACCACATTCATAGTGGCTGTGCTCTTTGTTTAAATGGGTATATCAGCAAAGGTTACAACCAGCTTGGTGAATGTCTTTAAATGTGAGGGGGATCAAGATGTAGTGATAGAGGGTACTAAAACAGAGGCAACAGAAAGGGGGTTCATGCTAGACATGTCTTAGAGTAAACAGAAAGCAATATGACACTGTTGGATAGAAACAGTGTGTTATAGAGCGGTGCAGGGATGGCCTGGACAACTTCTGTAGTCCTATTCAGCCACTTGGTAACAACCATCGTTTTTCAGACACGTCAACTCTCCAGAAATCACCAGCGGGTCACTGCTGATGGATTTAATGTCGTAGAACAAAACGTGACCCGTCTCTTCAATTTGTGTCAACCACAGACCTTATTTCCAAAATCCTATGGAGAAATCCCATTGGCTTTGAGACCAGGGAACAGGAAGTAAAATGCTAACTCACTTCCTGGTTTAGGACTCGTTCCTGCACCACTCTATTAAGAGCTGAAACAGAAGCCCTGGATCTAAAGCAGTAACTGACACATGGCTAGTTTAAAATCAATGCAGTAGATTGTCCACCAGCTGAACATGGAACACAACTACATCAACTGAATGTGTGGGTGTCTAAACCATACATTTCATTATTTTCTTTAATTGTCATTCTCTTCATTATATTAAGGCACAAAGAAAAGTTAGTTTAATATAAATAGTCATCAATAACTCTATTTCAAAACAATTCTTAAGAGAATGGTACATCTTTGTTAACATTTATTATACCTCCAATTGTGATGTTGCGTAAGTGACAAACATAACATTTGCGATAGGCGCACCCTACAGGACTTTCCTCTCCAATTGTCTTTATAGCTACTAATAAATACTCTTCTAACAAGTACATAACATGAAGCTCAGATCCATGCATCACAGTCAAGTCTTAATATGGCAGCCACATTGTTGTCACTTCAATGGGTTTCTAATGTAGACCCTAAACCTTTTATGACTGGCCTCGTCTAAGAATACTTCAACACAATAGACCTGTGAAGAGTTCCTTTACTACCAGCCAGCATAACCTAACACTGTTGAAAAGGAGCATCTTCATTTTTAGATCCAGGGCTCTGAGAAGTGTGTAAGGGAGTGAGGACAATCATTTGAGAGGATATTCACCACAGACAACAATCATTCATGTAAATACGGGTAATAGAAATATGTCAGTGAATTTTTACCTTGCAAGGCTTCAGACAGGTTAATTTGTAAGCCCTTAGCCTTGTCTGCATGCAACAACAAAAAACATACATATTGGAGCCTTAGCTAGATTAAGAAATAAGACACAAGAGATCAATAATTCACAAATAAATAATTGAAAACTGAAAATTAATAATTAAGGATGCCGATTAGTGAGAGACAGTATCCTGTGATAAGAAATGACAGACATGCATCCACCGTAGAAATCAGGAAATATAGATGAGGTTTTAATTGATGGTCCACACACTACAGACCTGAGGGATAACAATGTTTGGTGTGGGAAAATAGAGTGTTTCTGCAATGGTGCTATGAATGTTACCATGTAACTGTTATCAAATTAAACAAAAACTTTACAATCAAAAGCTGAAAATGGCGATGTTATATAAGCTATGACATGTATATGCCCACGTGTATTCAAAGACCAAACTAACATTGACTGGTGTTCGACCAATTTCTTTCTTCACTTGATTTGAGAGACTCAGTTGCTATCATTTTTCAGACAGATTTGAGAACCATTTTCATAAATACGGTGTATTGAAGTAGACTAATGTCAGGTTGGGAATGACTGCTCAGTGTTTCTCACAGAAATAGATCCTTTCAGCTGGCAGCTGATGAAGGGTGGGGGTTGAGGATCGGATAAGCACTTTAGCGACACAAAAACACTAGTAGGAGGTCGTTCACACGCCTATGCACAGAGCTGCATAGGCGTGTGAACGACTGTACATTTGTAGAACACTGTTGCAAACACTGCTTGTTATGTGACAATGGTAAATCATAGTCAGACTGGTTCTTATTCAGACAGTGACAGATAAACATGTTTGTAGACAGACCTGTATGTGAGGGGAGAGAAATGCCATAGGACTTGCTACCACACCTTTTCAGCAGCGTGCATGAAGTGTGAGATATTACAGAAAGACACTGTCAGCTACTCTTTAACACACACATTTGTGAGGCAGCCAATACTCACCGAGGACTCCCTGATAGTCGACCAGATCAAAGTAGACCACAGCTACCGAGGTCCACACACCCAGCAGGGCCAGGACGATGAACCAGGTGAAGAAGCTGCTGCTGGACCCAGAGTCAGCCTTCTTCCCATTCTTATTGGCTGATGAGGTTTTGGTAGCCTCTGCAACCAAAAGCCAGTAGATGATGTCAGGGTCACATTTAAACTCAAAGTCATGCTGTACATTCAAGATAATAATGTCACAAATCTATACAAAATCAATATCAGCTAACACATCCCTCGCACACTGTGTTAGTGTGCTCATCTTCATATAAACAGTTTTGAAACGTTTAAGTTGGCAGCCAATGTTAGTTGCATCAGAGGGAACACTACCAATTATATAAAAGGCTCAATGTCTTACCAAAAATAAACCTGTTAATATAAATATATTGTTAATCTGGGATGAGCTTGATTGGTTAACCTTTGCGCCGCCATCTCTTGACCTTTTTCCCACCATAATTGTTAAAAGCCCTTCCTTGCTTTCAAACAGCAGGAGAACTAACCAAGCTTAGGTGGAGAGACCTGATGGACTATAAGGGAAGTGTTACATTCAAACATGGCTTGTCTATAAGGAATCATCATGTCATCACCTGCATCTGCAAGAATCCATCAGAACTGGCTTGAGGGAAAGGCTATGAGCTGATGGAAACATAACAAAGCCAAAACAAGTTGTCCCATGGGTGCTGAAGTCCCACAATGCAAATGTGAAAAAGACTGCAGCAAAGAGAATGAACAGGTGTTGGAGTCTGTTACATGGAGCGAGGTCAAGCGTTATGCAACAGACTCCAACACACATAGCTCACAGTACTTGGCATAGTAGGGTATATTCAAATATACAGTGTAACATTGCAGTTTAACCTCAGTCTGACAAACGCATACAGCGAGATCATAGTTAGAGTAAGACTTTAGTCATTTTATTGTTAAGATTAAAGTTCACAAAAGAAACACAAAATAGAGTTGGAATATTGAATCTTAAATTCATATTGGGGAATCTGTATGCGTCATCTGACCTAGAGTCGGCTGAGAATATAAATCAGACTGGCTTCCTCACTTTATTACAAACATCTTTCTGCTTTAGAACACATAAGGGACTCTGGTATTTTGCATTAACACTTCTTTATTATTCTATCATTACAATTAAAGTTCATCAAAAATAATACGATCAGATGGAACCATAAGTATTGTACAACATGTACAATTTGAAAGCATACTACTTAAATATCATAACTAACCTAAATGTTAACCCATTATTTGGTTACATATTACCATCCAAATATTGTGTAGTCTACTGACTAATACCAACTGGGCTAAAGAGACACACATCCACATGAGAAAGTTCAAGTTAAAACAGCAATATGTTCCTAACTGAATCCATCAACTATAACCAACCGCCAGGCCCCCCCCACATTGAACTCCAGCCATTGAAGAAACCTCCTTAGAAGCCCTTGAACAAAAGTTGCCCTCACCTTGCGTTACCCCAGCTATCAACGTGGGGATCGCCGTGACAACAGGAGATGTAACGGACTCAAGCAGGATGGCAGGATCCCCCATCACTGTCCACTAACTGAATAAACGCAAACTGGCACAAAGACAGCTGACAACTAACAGCTCTGCGTCGTCTTCTCTCTGTCTGACGCTCCCTTCTTTCTCTACTGCCTTTCTTTCTCCTGCTCATCTGTCAGTTATCCCTGTACTCTGTCACTTTTTTCTATGAGCCCAATTCAGCTCTGGAGGTCAAAGTCAGCTATATATAGTGCTGTTGCACCAGCTGGCCCTGACAACAAGGGAGGGACTTCGCCTCTCTATGCCAAAAAAATTAGGATGAGGAAAAACAATAAGGAACTCAACGCATCTGGGTTGAACCTAGAACATTTGGGTAATGCAGGAGATTCCCTCAATTTGGGCATGTAAAAAAGACAGCCGCAAGATTGTTTTACTTTACATAATTTGCTATAATGTAATATTTCAATGTAAACATAGTATAAACTTGCCTGGGCCATACAAAGCTTAGCTTATTACCATTGCAGTGATTGGCCATGCTGCTTGTGAATATGGTGCACAACAGTTTCCATTCATTTTGGGATTGGAACAACAAACTAGAGACACGTTGAGATAAGACTGAACACCATGGGCACAACACCATTTTTACCTTGAAGATGTGCTAGAGCAGGGGTCTCCAACCTTTCTTCATCTGAGAGCCATACTAAATCAATTGTATAGGTCTATATCTGTGTGTGAAATTGTTCCATCCTCAAAAACAAAAAACTAATACTTCAGCAGTCTAGCTGCAGCTTAGGTCTTCTATTAAAAAGAGGACACTGAAGGTCCTGAATGTGGCATCACACACATGACTTGAGTCTGAACACAGCAGACAACAGGAGTATTTACAACAGCATATACAAACTAAAATAGTGCATGTGGGTGCACACTTACATTCTCTGTCTTACTGTTACATCAATCCCAAGAATGTATGAGATTAGCTTAATCATATCTCAATCAGTGATTAAGTGAATAATAAAGTTTCTATCAGGTTACTATCAGCATGTCACTCATTATTTTCAGGGAGGGGGGGGGGCGGGGTTTGGAGGAACAGAGAGGAGACGGTGATCGCAGAAGCTTTTTTCCTTCTGCCTTCACACAAGTATTTATCAACTGAAAATAGCAAGAGGACGTTCATACTCTGCAATCCAAGACTTGATCAAATCCACCAAAAACATGACATGGTGCTAACGCAAGTATTTTTTAAAACATAGATCCATGTGTGTCTGAGCCGCAGCGACACGGACTGATTCAGGTGCATTCATTGTCGTCGGATTTTTCCTACACAGTCTGTGAACCGCGAGCTGCTGAAAAACTTCCCGCTCGCGATCGACGTGTGAGACCCCTGTGCTAGAGCTTTAAAACTGCGGGGCCCTGCCCAGGAATCTGTTCGCATTAGGGGTGTAACGGTATCCGTATTCGTCCCGTACCGTCATGGTTCGGACGTCACGGTTCGGCACACGCAGTCACACGACGAATACGCCTCTTTTTTACGAGTGGGAAAAAAGTCTGTCATTCAGGGCAGTATCCACTACACTATTTATAATCCAGGGGGCGGTATTGCGCCTAAAAGCTGTTTGCCAGCCGCCCTTAAACAACAAATGAAGAACAAGAAGAAACAACAAAACGAACAAAATACAAGAAGAAGAAAAGTTAGTATGGCGATTTCAGATAACACACAGGAGCTAGAACCATGGATGTATAATAAGAACTGGATACAGCGTGGGAGGCGGGGCCTCATTCATTCCTATGAGAGTTGCTCATTAGCGCATGATGATAAAATGGCCCAACTTTTGAGAGAGCGAAACGTCACAGATTACCCAGCATGCCTGAGAAGTACCCGTATGTGCACTCATAGCGCATACGCAACTTTAACCAAAATGCTCGTTCACATCAAGCACGTCAATTTGCGTACACGTAACAGCACCGCACGTTCATGACAGCATGGTAATGATTTGTTATTATGATGGATTTGATATTAACGATGCGGCAGTTAGCAGCTAGCTAGTCGTTATGCTAATGTACACATCAATCGTTATGTACTTATATTACGCTGTAACAGGATCTAGTGATATCCAACAGAGCTTCATTTAGCATGAAAGAATGATTGCATTGTGTGTATATATACTTATAATAATAAGTAATATTAACTTAATACAACATTTACGGTACAAGATTTAATTATACAGCCCATGTAGTATGATAATGAATTATAGCAAACATGTGCAATATATCCATTATTACAGCTCCGTGGGCTGGCAGTAAGACGATAAGGATCCGTTCTTATCCATGGGTAAAGATAAACGCAACTCACATTGGTTTTTCAAACAGCATCTCTGTAAACTACGTGTATTGTATTCACTGAATTTCACTCTCTGCTTTTAACGGCTCGTTGTAGCTCCAATAGCTCCAGCCCCCACCCTCCCTGTGAGCACAGTGTGCTCTGATTGGTCGGGACACGTAACATGAACGTGCCGGGCGGCGCGGCCCCGTGGGTTAGATGCGCGTTCATAATGCAGAGGGAAATAACTCTCAGAATAACGTTATTAGCAAATGTTTTACAACTTGAGGAACGAATGTTTTTAATAAGGGCTATACAAACGTTCATACTGGGTAGTTTATTTAGTTTAAAAAACATTATACAACGATTTACAGACCACTCTTTCCCCATGTAAGTCAATGGGAAAAAGTGTTTCCGGGCCTGGCAACCAAACGGAAGTGCAGTACCGCCGTTTGGCCACCACGAATATTTTCATCTGAGTCCGGCGCACTTCCTGGGGGCTTGGCTAGAACCCACCTGCTTCTTTTAAATCAGCTGTGTGGGAACATTTTGGGTTCCCTGTGGACTACAATAACGATGGAGTGCGAGTGGTGGATCGGACGAGGACGGTGTGTCGGCGGACAGCGGTGCGGTATGCTAATAGAACACACGCCAAACATGCTAAATCATATCAGAAGGCATCACCCAGATTTGCCAATCACCGGAGCCCGGCAAAAGACAACAGCAGTTCAACAGCTTTTCCCCGCTGTTTTTAAGAAGCCAAGAGACATGAGAGCCTAAATAACGGAAGCTTTTGGCATATGTTTTTCAACGACTTTGCGCTCTTGAAACACTTTCTTATTATTTATGATGTAATATTTTCAAGACATTCTTTTTAGTTTTACAGCTTGATGAAAACTTTTAGTTTGACATCAGCCATTATAGATAATATGGCCATCTGAGTGTGTATGGTTTGTTTTTAACTGTTGAATACAGTTCATTATTCAAAATGTCAGAGTTCCTTATTTTTAAACTGAAACTTGCACTACTGTTCAAAAATAAATAACAAACCTGGAATTATGCATTTGGGACTTTTTTTGCTTTTCCTTGTTGTACCGAACCCGTACCGAACCGTGACCTCCAAACCGAGGTACGAACCGAACCGTGACTTCTGTGAACCGTTACACCCCTAGTTCGCATACAATGCTTTCTGATGAAGTCGACCAGAGAAATGTTACTCGAGCTACAAGGTAAACCTCAGGGCGGTTTATTTCTGAAACACCTGTGTTGAAGAAAGACAGGTTTACACATTCAGGTCTTGATATAGTGATGGAAAGGAGAATAATAATTAAAAGTTTTTGTTATTTTCTCAGTTTAAATGTGTCCAACAGCAAGTAACTAATAAATACATAAAACTAGATTAATTAGTATGGCTCAATTTGACAAGGAATGCTTGACAAGTCTACTGATTTAATAAACATGAATGAATGATAAACTCCCACTGTATCAAACAGAGTACCTTTACAAACCAATACTGGCTCAGTCTAATATGAACAACACATCTCACACACAAAGTAAGAAGTCATGCACCACCTGAAAAACCATGCAATAACATACCACTCTGTTCTTCTACACACTTCATTAGGACCACAGCAGCCAAGTCACAACTGTGCAAGCACGTGCACACTTTCTTCAAACTAATGGAAGCCTCTCTGCTCAGCGTATTCTCTGTGTAGCTCAGAACTCATTGTGGAGGCAGAGCAGCTCCTCTTCTCTCTGCGGTGCACCTCCTTCACTCACTTCTTTCCTTCTGGCTTTAACATGCGCACATGTTCATGTGTGTAAGGTTTTTATGTCTTTTACCATCATTCCAATCACATTCACTAGGCTAAGACACTGTAGACCATTACCCAACTATTCATAAAAACAGGTCTTTTGGAAAAATGTGGACCAGAAGAAGGCCATTTGGATGCTTTTAATATTTTTTTAAAGGGTCTCATAACACCAAACCACTATATGTTCGAACTGAGGATCGGCGAGCCTGGCAGGTAATGACTTCCACTCCTTTAGTGCAGAACCATACTGACAGAACCCTGCGACAGAGCAACAGGTCAAACAGTACAGCAGCAGTTTCTGCAGTATTTCCAACATCAGAGAGGACAGTGGTTTTACACCATCACAAAACAGACTTGTAATGGTGGTGTTCCACTCCTGCTACACGACACATCTAACATAGCTCCAGTCAACTCACTATAGACTATATTAGTAATGCTGGATAAACCATGCTTTACTTTTTGTTACCATTTTAACTTGTTAAGAATGATTTTAAAACTAAAGAGAACTTTTGCTTTACATTTTGGGTTCAAAAGAGCAATGTTATTATAAAATCTAGCGATGCTCCGATCGATCGGCCGCCGATCAATATGGGCCGATCCTCACTCTGTCGATCGGTGCTTTCTAAAAAGTACAATGGGAGCCAGAGCCTTTTCTTATCAAGCTCCACATTTGTGGAATCAGCTTCCAGTTTGTGTTCGGGCGGCAGACATCCTATCCGTTTTTAAGAGTGCGCTTAAGACCTTCCTTTTTGAAAAAGCTTATAGTTAGGGCTGATTAGATTCAGCCCCTAGTTTTGCTGATATAGGCTTAGTTTGTCGGGGGACATCTTACTTCTTCCTTCTCTCTGTCTATACCTGTGTACTCTCATGTTCCGATTAACCCAGCTTCCCCAAATGTCTTTCTTTTTGGCCCTGGATCTTGAGTCGTGGCTGTGGTCCTGGATCATAGGTCCTGGATGGATATCCTCGTGGATTCGTCTTCCTATTATACACGCATGCATTTCCAAACATTTGGACTACCTATGTTGCAAATGTATTATCTTTTCAATTTACACACGGCATCTATTGCACTTCTGTCCGTCCTGGGAGAGGGATCCCTCCTCTGTTGCTCTCCCTGAGGTTTCTCCCATTTTTCCCTTTAAACTGTGGGTTTTCTCCAGAAGTTTTTCCTTGTACGATGTGAGGGTCTAAGGACAGAGGGTCTAAGGACAGAGGGTGTCGTATTGTCATACTGATATTCTGTACAAACTGTGAAGTCCACTGAGACAAATGTAACATTTGTGATATTGGGCTATATAAATAAACATTGATTGAAAATAGTTATAAATATATTTATTCTTCACTGTCGGGTCACTCATTACTGGATCAGTGAGCTGCATGAGATACTGACAGGCTGTCAGGAGAGAGAGAGAGGGGGGAAGAGAGAGGGAGAGAGAGGGAGAGAGGGGGGAAGAGAGAGGGAGAGAGGGGGGAAAGAGAGAGGGAGAGAGGGGGGAAGAGAGAGGGAGAGAGGGGGGAAGAGAGAGGGAGAGAGGGGGGAAGAGAGCGCTTCCACTCATTTCTCCCGTGTTATTATCCAAAGATAATATAAACTTGAATAATGTACTTCATTTGAATGTAATAATTATGTTGGTTGTTGTTTGTGGAAGCTCCAGTGAATGAGCCCCATTAGCTGAGTTTTAAACATCACTTTAAATGGAAGATCCCCATAGGCCCCGCCCACTCGATCGGACGATACTGATTCCGGCCCCAAAATTGGCGATCGGAGCATCCCTAATAAAATCCATAAAAATTCTCGTGTATAATTGCACCTCTTCATTTGCAAAAACTGTAGCAACAAAGCCAACACATGGGGATGTTTCCATCTAAATGATTACATTAAAAACACACTCTTGCACATGCCAAGAACACGACACAGCATCACACATCAATCCAAGACTGATAGATCAGGATTTTACCCTTTCAGCTGTGCACCTCTTAGCCACGGCAAGGCCTTTGGAGGGGGGTGGGAAGCCTGAGGGATTTAATTGATGTATAAAGTAGAAAATAAAAAAAGAGATGTAACAAGGTAAAAGCCAAAGGTTAATCGGCTAAGACAAATAAAGCTAAGATTTGAGTAAAGTGCAAATATCTACTAATGATTAAAATCCCATCCTTCCTGTATTCTCACAGATCAATGGATTCAATGAAGCATACAATCAGCACATCTACAGATATTCAAGAAGAATGTCGCTAAACGGTTTGTTGGGATGTTCAAAAACACCTGGCATACAATTCAATGTTTATACTCCATCAAGATGTTCCGCTAGAGCCAAAGCCAATATTTGATAAGCCACTTTCTGTGTTGGATCAATTGGTATAACTCAAATAAACACATGCATGGTCCATAGGCCTTTCTTTCTCAGTAGTGGGTTAGTTAACCCACTAGTAGTGGGTTAGTTAACCCACTACTGCTCCAGAACAGAGATTTTGCCATGTGCAGCAACAAGACTAGATATGAACCAAATTTAGGACATTAAGCTTCCACATGTATACTTGCGTTAATCATCCTTGAATTGTGTGTCACACACACATACAAGTTTAATTTAATATATCACACAAGAGCGTTGGTGTTGCTGCTGGTTTCATTGTGCTCCAAGTGAGGGGGCGTGGCCAGTGAGAAGACGGAAAACTGAACATTTTGTTCCCTGGATGTTTCCAAACAACACTGCCCTTTGATCCGCTACAACAGGAGACGTTATGACATCTGAGATAAAGCTACCATCAGTCAAACAGCAAACGGTGCAGACATTAGCACTGTGTTACCGTCGGTGTGCCATAATGAGCCCGTTTATCTGAGTGTGCTGTGTAGCGCGCTGCACGTCGTCAACACATGCAGCCAAATGTTTTCACAAACCATGATTTGTTATATAATAATATAACTAACTTTTTAATATTTTATTTGTGCTTTGCATAGTACTGCTGTAGTATCCGGATAGTCAGTATTGTAGTATAGGAGGACCTTAAAGTCCTGTGTGGCTACAGGACATAGTGTACCAAGTTGGCCATACTAGCCTCTTGTATTAAGTATGAACTCATCTACACACACACAGTACATCAGCACGGTAAGTACAATAAGAATGCAAAAATGGAACCCCTCCTAAGGAGCTTTTACACAATATGTCTGCAGCCTGTGTTTAAAAGGGAAACTATAATGGGAATAAACTGCGACATGACGAGTCTGTTATGGATTTAAGATACGTGCAAGGTCATTAAAGATTCACTGTATTTGGAACGGTGTACAATATTCTGCCCAAGAACAGCAGAACAGAAAGAGTGCATATACGGGGGTACAATGGGGACCCCAAAGAGCCACGTATATGTTACACCACCGACGTATATGCTACACCACCGAAGCCTCTCATACTGACACGTGAGCATATAGAAGAGTGACTCGTCCTACACTGGGGGCGTGGTGCCCGGGGGGACACACAGACTCGCAATGCTGGCTCAACTGGTCCCACTGCTGGAGCTGAGGGGCCTAACGTCCCGGTGTCAGCCTGGCAGTGTGGCCCACTCTCCCGGCAGGCTGCAGCAGACCTAGCTGCTCCTCACAGAGCCAGAGTGCTCAGTAGGGAGGCGGGACCCTCCTAGCTTGTCTTGCTAATACAGAACTCAGTTTGAAAGATGTAGGCAGAGCTAACGTTGGTAAACTCTAATCTGTGACGTAGGCAGCCCTGTACGGTTAATGTCACGTTAATTTGTGGACGCATTAATACGTGGACGCATTAATAACAGGAAGCTTAGAGACACAGTGTTTACGTGCTCCATAAACCCAGCTTAAGTGACGTTCCCGTTAAACCGTTTCACTCGCACGGAGCAGCTAGCACGTCGTTAACAGTTCCTAAAGGTAGACGAAGCTAGCTAGCAGGACCAGGGCCCTGAATGAAAGAACAGCTTGCTAACAGATTCACTTCAGAGGCCTGCAGTGAGAGCGGGCGGCTGCAGCATCTTCCCACCAGTACCCTGCGCGAAGAACAAAAGCAACTTACCTTTGGGCTTCGCGTTCACTTTAGCGTTTTTCTTAGCAGCCATGGCGGATATCAGTTCGTAGGGCAGATAGACGTCTGAGGGAGAGCACAACAGCGGCCGGAGGCTCTACTTCTAGCAGTGAAAAGAAATACAAAAAAATCTCCTGCCTCATAAAACCCAGCGCCACCCGTCAACCTCGGGACTGATAGCTCTCTAAACCAATGAAAGACCCGATCAACACAAATGGGCGGAGCAGGAGAATTATTGAACCAGTCGATGTGAAGAGGCGTCGCACTTATTCAATCGTGTGGATAGAGAGGCCAAGTCCCGCCCATCTACTTCCGACCCATGGGTCTTATCTCTGCCCCCCTCCCACTCCTCTGGAACGTGGCAAAATGGAAGACCCTTTCTCTCTCCACACTAATGTTTATTTAAACATCAGAATCCACGCACAAACATGTCACAACGTAACATTAAAGATAGTTTGACAGGGCAATAACCCTCCTATCGTCAAACTCATTTTAATATTGGCTTGCTGTAGTACTATAGGCTATGGTTTAAGTTAGGCGAAGTTCAAATTGTCTTTGGGATGTTGTAATGAAAAATACTATACTGTAAACTACTATAAGATAACTTTCCATTTGATTTATATACTAAAAAAGACATATGGTGAAACAGTTGCCTGCAAACTTCAACATATCCAAATCACTGCACACATTTAGGCTTCCCGTGGTTGCTGATAACATTACCGGCGGCTGCGTTGTCTTCATGGGTCTGAGCACATTCAACTGGCCCCAGGGGCAGCAACATTCAAATCTGCCGTCATTCACTTTATTACTTACTCCTTTGCTTTTCCTACTCTCTCAAAAGATATTTCCAGCAATAAAGATTTTTTATTTGTTTATTATTATTTTATTTTCAACATGGCTTTTTATATAGGCCTATTGGTGTGTTATTTTCATTATTTGTCTGTCTATACTGCCATAACAAAGAACATTTCTCCCTCTGTGGGACGAATAAAGGAATTAATTTCTGAATGTCAACTATAATCTGCTTTAACCTGATTTTTTTTCTTAAAGTACGGTCATTTTCTTCGATTGGGACACGATTTCTTCTTTTTCTGTAAGCATGGTTAAGTTTTCCAAAGCTGGTTGTCTTCCAGTCATTTGGATGGCTTCAGTTGATGTGTGATATGTTGGAGAATACAGAGCTCTGACCATTTTGTTATCTCACATATGGTCAGCAGACTCCCTGCCCAGGGGGTATCCAGATTTGCTGCGGTCATGACGACATTACTAAAATGTGGGCTGGCTTCACACTGAACTCCTGGCAACGTTCTGTCCCAACCTATCGTCCCCATATACAGTCGCTAGCTGAGTCCCCGTCCTCAGCTGTGTGTCTGTGTATTCAGCAGGATGTCTACGAGGGGGACTTAGAGTAAAGATGTTATATATATATAAAATACATATGGCACTGTTTTAGCGGTAAACACCGAAGAAAGAACATTATGTCAAGTTATGTGCTGTTTCAGAAACAATGCACGACGTGCAGAGGTGGGAAGTAACTAAGTACATTGACTCAAGTACTGTACTTAAAGGTAGGGTAGGTAATTCACTTCAGAAACTTTTTGTTATATTCCATGGAATGCTCTTAACATCCCGATAGCAATGAATACATTAAATGCTTTGACAATAAATACAATAAATAATTGAATCTGTGGAAGCCGTGGCGCTGTAAAAAGCACGACCAATCATCTGAGCCGGCCCGGCTAAAGTAACTGGATGGCCTACCTGCCTGTCAGCCTTCCATCTGTGCACAAACTTATCTCGCGCCCTCATTGGTCATGTGCGCGTTCGTGTGTGTTGGAGGAGGGGCTCTCTCTGTAAGGAAGTCTGAAGGAAGAGGTCGATTTTCTCCGGGTTGTGTACTTTAAAAATTCTAGCGCACTCGAGCTGGTTTCTCCAAAATTACATACCCCACCTTTAAGTAACATTTTGAGTTACTTTGACTTTACTTGAGTTATTTAATGTTACTTTATACCATACGTCTACCCCACTTTATACCATACGTCTACCCCACTTTATACCATACGTCTACCCCACTTTATACCATACGTCTACCCCACTTTATACCATACGTCTACCCCACTTTATACCATACGTCTACCCCACTACAATTCAGAGGTACATTACTTTTACTCCTCTACATGTATTTTATACACTTAGTTACTTTGCATATTAGGATTAATGATGTGAAGTATAACCAACTCTTAAATTAGACTTCAGTTCCACCTGGAGTAAATTCAAAAGCTACCCTGCAGTATACAAAGTCATTCAAACTGTTACGGTGCGTGGAAAAGGTAGGACCCAAATGCGGTATTAACAAAAAGCGAGCTTTATTTTACAAAAAAAAGCCGATGACAAAAGAAAACAAGAGACAAACTTAACATTACCAAAACAGGGGAGCACGAGTAAAGAATCCAGGATCAAAAACTTCAAGGACAAACATGGAGCGTGACGTGAAGGGAAGACAAACAATGAACCGACAGGGGAACACAGGGAAAGACAAGACTAAATACAGAGAGGGGTAATCACGGGACAAGAAACAGCTGGGTAAAGGAGGGAGAAACACAAGGGCAACAGGTGAACACAATGAGACAATCAGACACACCAGGGAAACTAACGACAGGAAGGCAAACACAGGAAGAAGTATCAGACAAGACACAAGGAGGAAAACATGCGACAGGGAACACAGAACAGCAAAATAAAACCAAAACTTAACACACAAAACTCAAATCCTGACACAAACTAGCTGCACCTTTACCAGCTTTGAGAACACTTTCATGATCAATCATTATAAAACATATCAAATATATTATTCTGAAATGGACCAATCTGCATAATGACTACTTTTACTTTTGATACTTTAAAGGTCCCATGTCATGGCCATTTCTACTGATCATAATTCCATTGTTGAGGTCTACTAGAATAGATTTAAATTGTGCAATGTTCCAAACTCACATTGGTTTCTCTTTCTAGTCATACAGAATCTCTTTAAAGTATGTGTATTCACTCTCTGTCCTACACGGCTTGTTGGAGCTAGTCAAATATGAAGACGTTAAACTTTAAACATCCATGACTTAAACACTTGATCCAGGATCAAAGCCACAGAGCTGCACCTGCAAGGTGAATACAGCTGGGAACAGAACAAGTGTTTGAATGCGTACATTAACAGGTTTATGATATCACGGCCCCGTCTAAGACACGATCTGACTTTAATTACATTTGTCTCGAGTGTTTCCTCAACTTAATGTGTTGCTTAAAATAATACTTCTGCATACAGTATGTGACACTGTGAGTGTTGCACGGCCAGATACGGCTCAGCTGACTCAGATAAGGAGATATATGATACATTATGATGTGATATGATGTGATATGAATGATAATGGGACACATCGACGTCTGCACTCTCAGTGCCGCGGACTGTAGGCTAATGTTACTTTGATCCGGTTACTTGTGTTGTGGCAGATATTTAATTAAGCTTTCTTAACGGCGCTAATGTTATAATAGTCAGATTGCTCTGAAGATGGGAGGTGATTCTTTTTCACGTTCACACAGTCAGCTGACCAATCAGCAGGCGGTGCTTTCACTGAGTTGATCTCTTAGGCTGCAACCTAACCTGCTCCGGGGCAGGTTAGTCGCACAGCATAAGTTACCATGGAGATCTAGCCCGCTAAAACGAGAACCACCGTCGTAGGACCGGAAACCCAGAGTTTTCCCTGAAGTTAGCCCGCTAAGCGAAAATCCAGCTTCGTAGTACAGGCCTCTGGTGTGTGAGGAGCTCCGCGGATTGGTCCATTTTGGTTCCGGGAAACAAAGAAACAAATGGAAAAAGAGAAATGTCCAACGAGGCGTTCTGGGGCAGCACAGACAGGTCTTCTCTGTGTTAGAGTTTTACTCGCTACAGGATGTACTTGGAGGGTTTGTGACTCTGCAGACGGTTTACATGCAGAAAAACCTTCATAACACACAAGGGGACGGGTAATAACCGGAAAAGCATGACATGGGACCTTTAACTATATTTTGATGCTCATACTTTTTGTACTTTAACTTGAGTAACATTTTCAATGCAGGACTTTTACTTTTAACAGAGTATTCCTACACTCTTTTTTTGTTGGTACTTTTTACTCAAGTAGAAGATCTGAGTACTTCTCCCACCTCTGGCGATGTGTTCTGGAAGTATTATGGTCTGTGTTTACATTAGCAAGTAGGGGTGCACCGAATGGGAAATTCTTGGCCGAAACCGATACCGAAAATAGGAAACAGTTGGCCGAAAACCGAATGCCGAAAGGCCGAAAATGATTAATAGAAATATATATATATAATGTATACATTTTTTACCAATGTTGTTCAGCTACCTGATTATGGAAATAGACATGATTATGGCAAAACTTAACTTAAATAATAATCACTATTATGGGTCCATAAAACATTTATTCAGCACTTTTGAATGCATACAGTACATTTATATATGTCATGTATTATTGCTAAAAAACATTATATCGCAGTCTTAGTGTCGCCAACTCGTTTCTAATATGCAAAGACAACAAATTCGTCTATGATGTATTTTCGATCAGACGAGATCTCTCTCCCCCGTCTGTGTGCGAGGGGGCGGGGCAGTTTACACACACGCAGCTGCTACATGCAGCGGAGCACACTGCGGAGATGGCGGAGAGAACGCGCTCCGAGGTGTGGTTAAACTTTACCCGTCTCGATGTGGAGAATATTTGTTACCATAAGTGCAATAAGAGTTTAGCATGTAAGCACGAGCAATTTGTCTAAACATTTAGCAAAAGTGCACCGCATGCAGACGGAGGAATGCACCGGGTTCGACCGTCTTTCTAGCAGCTCTGTAGCCCCATCCACGAGTAACGTTTCCACGTCAGGTGTTATGTATGCTAGCAGCAACACACGGAGTTAACTACATGATACAAACATGGGTTAATGATTAGAGGTAACTGAGTTATTTAGTTTGTTAAAATTTCAGCTATTCTGTTTACAGTCTGTCATCAGATTATTAATACGATTTGTTAAAGGCTCAGGGCAATCTCGATGACAAAGGTCAATGTCCCCCCCCCCCTGTGAGCCAGCCGCGAGCATGGTCGCCGCGTCTTTATTACGTCATCACAACAACACGTTAGGTTACCAACGTAAGCCTATTCTGACATTCGGTGATATTTTTTCGGTGCTAAAACCCTTTCGGCCGAAAGCCGAAAGGGCCTTTTTAACCATTTTCGGCCAAT